AGGCTGGAGTACAATGGTGTGATCTCAGCTAACTGCAACCTCCATCTCCTGGGTTCAAGCGATTCTCCTGCCTCACTCTCTCAAGTAGCTGGGATTACAGGTATGAGCCACTGCGCCCAGCCCAGAGGCACAAATTCTATAGTTTTTCTGGAAAGCAATTTCGCAACCTGTGTTGAATCTTGAAAATAAAGATGCCCTTTGACAGAAAAACTAGTAAAATTCCAGCTTTAAAACCATACCAAAAATTAATTTTAAAATTTGAGATAAGACTTATTTATAAACTTTTCATTCATTATGAATTGATATAAAACATTGGAAATAAATGAGCAAAAATGGGATAATGGTTATATATATTTTAGGACACAAACATGGGCTAGATAAATATTAAAATGTGAGACTTTCAAAGAGTTGATAATACCATAGAAAAATGCCCACAGTCTAAGTGTAAAGTAAAAATGGCAGAATAAAGAACTGTATGAAGTATGACTTCAATTGTATTAAATATGTATGTGTATGTATATACAATACACAGATTACCACAATTATTGTAGCAAAATAGACTGCAAATACAGTTAATGTTGAAAGAAGAAACTCTTACTATTACAGTTCTTACCAAGGCTTATTAAACATTCTCTGCTTTAACACTTAAAAAAGAATCATAATAAATGTCTTCATTTACACTTACCAGATCAATATTTTGCATTATATCCTGAAATGAAGGATGAGTTCGAAATTGTTCGAAGAGATCGCGTTTGTAGAGCAGGGCGTATACCAAGTTTGGGTTGTGGTGAAGGGAATTTGTCAGGCAGGAGTTGATGATCTCTAACATCATTCGAATCACTTCTTCAATGACATTTAGGTCTTGTGCCTCATAAAGAAAAGAAACCCCAACACAGAGTCACTCTTTTTCTCCTTGCAATAGAATTAATCGAAATAAGAGAAATTGCCTTAAAATTATAACAGAATTGGAAAGATCACACAGAGAAGCTCATCAAGATTATTTCTGTCAAGAATCTTAAGAATGAGGTTTGTCAGTTACTAAAGGATTTGGGTTAAAATCTTTTGAACTTAGAATGGTAATAATTAGGAATTTCATATAATAAATTACAGACATCAATCTAGAGGGAAATTTGGAGCTTACTCAGTTCCTCATTTAATAGATCCATATTGGTATTCTCACTATTGTACTACCCTAAATCGTTGAGACTGCCATGATGTAGAGTAGTGGTAGGGTAGTACCCATTCCAAGAAAATGACTACTAATTCAGAAAATGACTTCATTGCTCTACACTGTCATTTCAGTCTTTATATTTCAGATAAACAGACTATGATTTTGTCACTGTTTCCTCGGAGTGAATAGTCTTTGGGAATCTGAACATTAAATAGTTACCAAACAGCAAAGCTCAAAGTAAGCAATCAGCAAACCTCTTGGAAGAAAAGGGCAATGGAAGGAGCAAGCACATGGGTATATACAACAGACTTTCCTCTCCTCTTCAGTCTTCTATAATATATTTGACAGTTGAAGCAAAAATTATAACATTGATGTGGTTCTCAATGTATGTAAAGGAATATCTAAAACAATTACAAACAAAGGTGGGTAAGGGATTTAAAGGGACAAAGGTTTCTACAGCTCACTTGAACTGGTAAAATATCAACACCACTAGACTGCAATAAGCTATGTACATATAATGTTATGTCTAGAGCAAATCTACCTGACGAGAAACAAAAACACTATAGATATATTAAGGCTGGGTGCGGTGGCTCATGCCTGTAATCCCAGCACTTTGAGAGGCAAAGGTGGGCAGATCACTTGAGCTCAGGAGTTTGAGACCAACCTGGGCAACATGGCAAAACCCCATCTCTACAAAAAACACAAAAATTAGCCAGGCGGGTGGCACACACCTGTAGCCTCAGCTACTTGGGAGGCTGAGGTGGGAGGATGGCTTAAGCCCGAGAGGTGGAGGTTACAGTGAGTTGAGATTGCTCCACTGCATTCCAG